CATCTTTATTAGTGTTAGTATAGATATTACTCTATGTTTTCGATGCTAAGGTTCAATCTTCTGCTTAATTAGATGCATAGATTCAGTACTTAGTATCTTAATGGACGGTCACAGTCTACATCACAGACTGACATCAAGTCATCATCATCATTATCAACATAGGACCAGGCATTACTGCGTAACGGTCCGAGTTGCCACACCTCATATCAGCACATCAAGTAAAAAGGTAGTGAGGTGAAGGATGAAGATAAGTGAATGCAGTCAAAAGAAATATAAAGTACGAGAAGAAAGGAAAGAGGAGTGACAAAATAGTGAGATTCGGTATAGCGTTGTTAAGATGAGGATAATGTGTGTATACATCTGCGCCACTGACTTCGGTTCTGAGCCATATCACCTAGGGTCTCCAACCACTGGTTCCTCTTGTCCCGTGGACCCCAACCACCTAGTCTGCATCGTCCTACATGGCTTAAACCAACAGTCAGAGACTTCATACATTGGTGCCATGTTTTAGTCTGGCCACCTCGGGCCTTTTTCCAGCCTGAACCCACCTCAGCCAACATTGTGTGACGAGGCAATCGGTGACTAGGCATACGTAGTACGTGTCCCAACCATCTCAGTCGATGAAGGTTCACAACCTCGTCGACTGACTTACCTCTTCTCCCTAAAACTCTACACCTAACTTCTGCATTACTCACATGGTGACACCACGGAATACGTCCTATACTACGAAGGCAACGGTGGTCAAATACCTGTAACCTTCTCATGTCTTCCACTTTCAATGGCCATGTTTCACAGCCATACAGTAGAACAGAGCGGACTGCTGTGCAGTACACGCGACCCTTAATAGACAAACGAATATCACGGCGGCGCCATAGGTGGCGCAAATTGGCAAAAGCCAATCGAGCCTTTTGTATCCGTGCAGAAATCTCATCGGCAACTAACCCACCGGGTTGATCCTACTTCCCAGGTAAGTGAAGTGGTCAACACACTCAACCACTTCACTCTCTATTGTTAACCGCGGTACCGCTGAAGACCAGTCCTGGAGCAAAAATTTGCATTTGGGTGGTGAAAATCGCATCCCAAACATTCTCAAATTCCCACTCAAAGTGTTCAGAAGACTCTGCATCTTGTCAGCGTCTTCACCTAACAGGACTATGTCATCTGCATATTCTAGATCTAAGGAAAATTCACCTGTGGTCCGGTCAACGTCTTTGTAATTAGGTGACGAGAGGGAAACCTCCATAAGAATATCTATGATAAAATTAAATAAGAATGGGGATAGTGGGCATCCTTGACGGACACCACTTGATGAGTATAGCTCCCTGGACAACTCACCATAGGCTCTAACATGCCCACAAGTGTTCGAGTAGAGAGCTTTCAATAAGGTGATGTACTTACTAGGCACGCCTTTCAGTGACAGACACTGCCATAAGACTTCTCGATCAACGGAGTCAAATGCCGCCTTCAGGTCGAGAAATACAGCTATTGTCGGGCGTCTGTAAGCATGCCTATGTTCCAGGACCTGGCGCAGTGTGAATATTTGGTCGATACATCCACGGCCAGGTCTAAAGCCTGCCTGGTTTTCTCGGGCTTGCTGTTCCCGAGCTCCACTCAGGCGTCGGAGAATTATAGAACTTAGGATCTTAGACACTATGTTTGTCAGGCTGATTCCTCTGTGGTTATCACAAGAGGACTTCTCGCCTTTCTTGAAGACTGGGATGATCAGTGACTTAGACCAGTCGGAGGGGATCGTATTTGATTCCCATATACTGGCTAACACTTCCGTTAGCCTGACTAAGAGAACTCTACCACCATTCTTGTATACCTCAGCAGGTAGTCCGTCTGGTCCTGCTGCCCTTCCCCGTTTCAGGCTACCTACCGCTTTCTCAACTTCTTCTAGTGTTGGGGGACCTGTCTCTATGTCCCATTCAGGGTCCGACTGGATAGCGGGCAGCGCAATGGTGGCTGGAGGCCAGTTAAACTGTTCCTCAAAGTGTTCTGCCCATCGTCCCAGTCGCCTTCCCTGCGAGTGAATCGCCGATCCGTCCTTCTCCGCTATAACCTCACTAACTGTTGTTGACCATTTCCCCCCAGTCTCCTTAATAAGTCTAAATAACTGTCTACTGTTACCGATCGCCGCTGCCTTTTCCATCTCTTTAGCCTTTGCTGCCCACCACTGTTCACGATCGTTGCGCAGACTTTTCGTCAGTTTATTTTTAAGTTGCGCTCGCTCTTCATTGTACTCAGAGCCTGCAGGGATGCATTCACGTGCATCCATTAGTTTGGAAGAAGCTGCTGATATCCACTGGCTCTTTTTAGCCATTATCTTGGAGTCGGCTACAGTCTCCAGTGCTGCTTTTACAGTAGACTGAAGATGGCACCAAGCTTCTTCTGGATGAGTGACAGTCTTTTGTTCCGATAACTGCCTAGCCAACTTCTCACTGAACACGGCTTTGGTGTTTTCGTTGTCCAGCAGAACTCGTAGTGGTTTTGTTGCCAAATTTTTTCTACGTCCATTGAGACGCAGGCATATACGTGCTCGGACCAACGCATGATCGCTGTCCAAACACGTACTCCAGAAGGAGCGGCAGTCTTCCACCGATCCTCTCCAGCGATGACTAATAGCAATGTGGTCTATCTGTGTCCATCGCTGAGTCGAGCTCGGTGGACGCCAGGTCAGACAGTGCCTTTCTTTATGTCTGAAATTTGTGCTGGCTAAAAATAGGCGGTTATCTGAGCATAGTTGTAATAGGCGATCACCGTTATCTGTACGTTCAGCTGGGATTCCGAAAGTGCCACCTAAGTGCCTTTCTGCCTCACTCAGTCTACCCACCTGTGCGTTGAGGTCACCTGCAACAACCACTACGTCCGAACGTTTGGCTTTCGAGAGGAGGTTAGACAGTTTATGGTAGAACTCGTCCTTCACTTCATCCGAACTACAGTCAGTGGGTGCGTAAGCAGAGATTACAAAGAGACAACGGCGAGTCTCACTATTCCTTTTAGTTCTCACTGTGCCGTTCAGCCTCATAGCGCAGAGGCGACTATCAACTGGGATCCAGTCTAGTAGTGAGTTTTCTGCCCTGGTGCTTAATGCTATACCTACACCTGCAAGACCACGAGAGCTAGCTATCGAATCTCCAGAAACTCGAAGGGTGAATTTTGCAGATTCACCAGATTGGTCAGGAGAGGTCAGGTGAATAACCACACTTGGGTCCTGTATGCGTGTCTCACAAACACAGCACACATCCATGCCTCGAGTTGCTAGAGTCTTTGCCAACGAAGCCTGTTGGCCAATTTGACGGAGGGTGCGGACATTGAAGGCTCCAATATGTAATTTGGAGCGTGGTTTAAGGAGACCAGGGACGCTGTTCTGTGGACTCAGATCGTTGTCGAAGGCTGCAGAGGTAGGAGAAATTGAAGATGATGCAGCATCATTAATTAAGAGACGTGAAGGAAGATTAGAAGGTAATGATGGAGGAGGAGGATAGCAGTCAGAAGAAACTTGGGTGCTGACAGAGTTGTGAGGGCGGTTGACACTTCCCGGCTGCCCACACCGTGGAAGGCTATTTCTTCTTAAGGTACCTGAAAGAGATTTGTGTGACCGCAGAGCCCATCGGACATCTGCTTGAGGCCTGTCACACCCAGCCTTTTGAGTATGATTATTTTGAATTTTTGTATTTTTGGGGCCGGATGAGCGAAAGGAAACGACAAGTGAACCAACACCGCCGGCCCGGCAGACCGTGGGGCGTGGTGGAGTGTGTTATTTTTGGGGCCGACCTTTTCTAACCCCCCCTTCCACTGAGAAGGCAGCATCAGCTTGGCACTGCTGGTCATCCAAGGGAAACACCTTACTGCTGTCACACCCCATCCAGCTAGCAGCAGTACGACTTCGCCCTCAGACCCCCATCATAGTGTAGCAATTTACACTATGACGGTAACTGCTTTTCGTCTAACCACTACCCAACAGACCTTTCTGGTATGGTAGGACCTCGAGGGAACAAGCGTTCCACCAGCATAGCTCGTTGGGTCATTGTGATATGCAAGCCCGACCACCACGTCAAGGTAGCAGCTATCGGTCGGGACTGACATGAAGTAACCACCATATTTACTTTACTTTCCTGCTATCCAAATTTCTTCGTTAAAACCATTGTAACTGGAGAACAAACTTTTTAACACTCATGTATGTCTGTGAATGGTGTACAGTAGAGCATGAATCGAAGGCAAAAATTGTTTTTCAACCTTTACTATTACATACTATAGAATGAATACAAGCCGGTAGTTAAATAAAGATTTGTATGCTTTGTTAGGAGTTATATAACATCTTACACAAGAAGTAGATGGTAGAGTGGAGATTAAACTCTAAGTGAATTGATATGAAGTTGAATTTTCAAGTTAGTAAATTACAGTTTCACACAATCTTGTGCACATTTGTACAATAGGCCATATGATACACCTGTTATGTGACGGTTTATTACACTACCTCGGATGGGGTGTGACAGCAGTAAGGTGTTTCCCTTGGATGACCAGCAGTGCCATGCTGATGCTGCCTTCTTAGTGGAAGGGGGGCTTAGAAAAGGTCGGCCCCAAAAATAACACACTCCACCACGCCCCACGGTCTGCCGGGCCGGCGATGTCGGTTCACTTGTCGTTTCCTTTCGACCATCCGGCCCCAAAAATACAAAAGTTCAAGATAATCATACTCAAAAGGCTTCGTGTGACAGGCCTCAAGCAGATGTCCGATGGGCTCTGCGGTCACACAAATCTCTTTCAGGTACCTTAAGAAGAAATAGCCTTCCACGGTGTAGGCAGTCGGGAAGTGTCAACCGCCCTCACAACTCTGTCACCTCGGCAGGTGGAGTGGGCTTCAAACCAATGACTGTGTAAACCAAAAAGGCCACAATTCCAATCCTCATACAAACTGTAAATTAAATGAGTTGAAATAAACTCTATAAATGTTTGATAAAAATAATATATGTAGATGAAAAACAGAAAATAATTACCATTTATTAATCCTAACATAATCCACTTTAATGGATGTGTCCAAAGTTTTGATGTTTTAAAATACAACCATATTAAACATTCATATAATTTAGTGATTACTGGGATTGGCATAGGATAATTTATAGAATACCTGTTCATTTCTATAATTTTTCCAATTAATCGATTGCGTATTTCAACAACATTTTCTATGAGAAAATTATCATTCTGAAAAAAGTTTATTATATAATCTATTGAAAAACATACTGTTGACTGAATCCAATTTTTAATACAAATTGTTGCATACAATTTTTCTTTTAATGAATTTTCACAATTAATCATTGATAAAGTAGATTCATAAGAAAAAATATTTTCTGATTTCGATATCAAATTGAAATTAGTAAGACAGTTTTCACTGGATTCATTTAAAGGTATGAATTGCATTTTTTTTTGTTTGGAATAACTTTATAACCATTAATTATGCGTTCATTTAGTTATGAATCCTTTTAGGATGCATTATACAACCTAGACAGAAGGGAGTTAAAGATGAAAATTGTATCATACTTTGAAATATTCATAAAAACTAAGTTTAACGTATTACTGACATCTTAAAAAAACTATATATGGATAAGAGGAACTTTTAAACCTGAAAAAAAACCAAAAGTAAAGACCCTTATAAACTAAAATATGCACTTGAAAGTGTATTGTTCTTTGAAGCTTCCAATTGTTGATGGTATGTTTCTGATCAAGCAGAATTTTGATAATAATAAACTGAATATAATCAAATGAGGTTAATTTTCATCGAACCATCTTACACTATTCGCTAGTTGTTTAGGATGTTTCGTATAATTGTATTTCCTAAAAAAAGTAAAAACTATGGATAAGAACCTTGCACTAGATAGACTAGGTATCAATATTACACCGCATACTCTGAAACGTAATTCCAACCTCAAATCTAACTCCTGGGATAATAATGCTTAATCCCAAGTAATTTTGCAGTACCTACCACTTGACTAGGCGATAAAGTAGCAAACAAACAAGGAGTAGGTTATCTTTTCAGTGCCAACGCTGGGTTGTTAACTAAATGTAACTCAACGACCTTAAGCACCTATCATCTAAGACCTTACAGCTATTTTTTATAATTAGGAATGCTCAGAGCAAAATCGAAAGTGTGCGTAACCCTTTAGCTGTTTAGCAGACATTCATTTCTTGCCCAAAAATCCCTAACATTGAGTAGATTCACCAATACCTTGCTTGAAAGCGTGAAGAAAGCAGCTGAAATTATTCGAACCATTTACAGACAAATGAGTGAGTTTAAATAGACAAACACGCTCAACCACTAGCTTAAGCCACTGAAACCAATTTGTTGCACCAGCTTCGAGTGACTACTTAATAACCAATAGCCTTCAAGGTAACAGCGTAGCCACGTTAAACTCTTAAAGTTTTCTTCTTAAGTACTTCTACAGAGGTCTATAATATCAATGATAGGGGGCCCGTGAAAGTTAACTTAAGTCCATATAACAGTTATGGAGATCTGATGTTATGCACATATAACTGCAATCACATAGATGAGGGTTTTTATCGTATGTACATTAAACACTGTACTTTAGACAGTGAGAAGCAGCTTAAAACATAGAACTCCACTCTATTTTATTTCAGCATTAAAAAATTTGAGAAAGACTGTTTTCCTTTAAAGTAACTGGTCATTTCGAAATCCTAAGAAAGGGAAAACTCAGTGGTTCCACTCTTTTGTATTGAAGAACGTCTATAACTTTAATAATCCCTTGAGTTTATTGGAACCAATACTACTTCCATTTTCCCTACCGGTAGCGTCAGGACGAGGAAAATGTAACGCCGCTGCAGTACCGCTAACCTCATACAACCCGCCTTCGGATCCAACATCAACAATGCGAGTACAGGAAACTTGCAGTTTTTGAGCTCTCGCTTCTACGTCTTGAGGCTCGGTTCTTTTTCTTCGGTTGTACTCCCGCGATAGTCACAGAATTCCTTTCGCCTTTCCTGCTTATAGCTTTGTGGGTAATCCAATATCCAATATTGATAGTGCGAGCGTAGAAAACTGGTCGTTTTTGATCTCTCGCGTCTAGTTCTTAGGGCTTGGTTCCAGTTGTCCGGTTCACTCCTGCAGTGGACGAGGAAATCCCTCTGCTTTCTTGCTTTTAGCTTCGGTGAGGTGGATGTTTTGTGGCAATGAGTTTGAGTAATTCCACTGGTTGGTTCTCAGTCACGGTGTGTGGGGTGTTTGGAATGGGTTTCGTAGAGGCTTCAGCTGTCGATGTCTTTGGCCATGCGCTTGACGTTCCCTGGGGCCGGGTAGGAGGTATGGAGACTTGACCTAATATGGTCTCCAAGCGAGGTGGCGTGCCCACAGCTGGAGCTCTAGGTCTGTTTCCAGGTCTCTCTGTGTTATCCTTTGGTGTTAACCCTACTTTATTCGAGGATGCTGGTAGCTTTTGCGTGGCGGAAAGCATCTCCTTCAGGCTTCCTGTGTGCAGTGCGGGCGTTTTCCTGTACTCTGGACAGATGTACCAGAACCACTTGCATGGTTGTCTCTTCATCAGCTTATAGTATTATCGGGGGACTTTGATGTCGCAGTGGCAATGCGCCCATCGTTGACATAGGTTGCATGCAAATGCCTCATCGACTACCGAAGCAACTTTGGTGCAAACACTGCAGCCATCGGGTGTCGTAATACAGCCTTCCTTGCATGAATAAGGTGCTACGGATTGTGGCGAACTGCTTGTGGCTGCCTTGTTCTGAAGTCCTTTACGTCGTCTTCTATTTCCAGGCATGGTATGATCCTTACTCAAGATAGGACTAGTTTGTGACGGGCTAGTGCTACCCTGTGTCACCTGTCTGATGGCCACTGGAATTCTAGAAACATGGGTTGGCCACTTCTTTAGAAGTTCGGTGTTCTGCCCTACCTCTATTTGTCTTTTAGTACAGACAAGTGCATTGTTTCGGGTGTTATTGGCCGTTTTTGTGCAAGACCGCGTTATCCATGTCAAAGCTTCATGTCTAGCGTTTTGGGCAGACATGTCGCTATGATATAAACTTCTTGGAAAACAAGTAGTTAACAACAATAAGAGGGTTGGAGACCGAATGCAGCAAAAGGACAGAATAAATAAGGGAAGATAATTTATGTTGGCTCACCTTCAGACACTTGCCACTCGATCCTCTGTTCCTGACCAACGAGTTTAACCGTAAGCGCCAGATGCGTATGTATAACCAGGAAAGATATTTCCTGGGGAATGACCTCCGAGGAGAACCGAGAGCTAAGGCAGTTCGGCAGTTGAAACGCCCAAGAACCACTGACAGGAGGTAGACCGGTTGGTTCAAAGGAATAATAATGCCAATTTTCAACTGTTGAGAAGTGAGCTGACGAATACGCAGGGGTGAGGTGCGTGGACGGACAGAAGTGCTGCAAACGTTCGATCTTTTTAGATTGAGTATTGCAAGTGGGAGTTTTTCAGTGTGGAAAAATCCAAAAGCTGAGACGAGCGAAAACACGTCACTATTCAAGGTCACTTCTCGATTGTCTACATGAAGGTGTTTTATTTGCAATTTGTTGCTTGACTTGCCTTGTCACGTAACCGAGCTGCTGATAAGATCAACTGACCGTTTGTAGTTCCCGTTCTTGCAAGCACCTGCAAGTGAGTACGAAGCGTTACTGAAAATTTGCTAGAAGTATGGTGAGTGGGGAATGAAAAAAAGAGAGGAGTGAAGGGTACTTGTAGAAAGATAAGTGTTACTGGTATTGACATGGAGAAGAGATGCATCTTGTTCGAGATACTGGGGTGAGGGAAACAGGTATGGAAGAGCATCATCAACAGCTGCTACCGGCAGATGTTCGTGGTAAGCCGTTTGCGCTCGCATACTCATTCGGTAGTCGTTTGAAGGAGTCGACTGATATAGCTGTGGTGACTTTCTGCGGCAAAGCGTTCCATAAGGCGCATACTCTGTGGCAGAAGTTAGATCTCATTCCCCTCTTTGCCATGTGGTGGGGTATGCAAGCAGAGTTCCCGTGAGACTGTCGGTTTGGGACCGATAACGTTGACTTATTAGGGTGGTCCACTTGGCGAATGAACTTGTAGGTTATCAGTTCACCTCCTTTCGTCCGATAGCTCTGTATGGACAAGTTGGGCAAGTTACCTAAGGCGTTGTGCATATGTCTTACCTTTTAATCCGACAACCAACTTTGTTGCTCTTCTCTGTATATTCTCAAGAGTATTTGAGTCTCTCTTTAGTGCTGGAAGGGGCTGCCGTGTTGAACACATCTAGGTGTGGTATAACATAGCTTTTAAATACCATAAGGAACAACTGTGGGGCTAACGATCCAGGCTGCTTCCTTAGAAAGTGAATGGTGGAGTCCACCTTTTCTGCTATTCCTTTACAGTTGCCCGTATTATCCAGTGTGTGAGAAAAGTTTAGTTCCAGATCCTTCTCTGTAGATACCTTGGTGACTTCATGCTTATTAAGAGTGTAGCTGATCCTCGTCGTCTCTGGTGTGTGAAGATACATAGCTTTGCACTTCTCCAGGTTAAAGCCTGAATTGTTTGCAGCTGACCAGGACTCCAGATGCAGCAGGTCGTTTTGGAGCACCCCAGGATTCTCTTCGTCACCTATAGTCATCCAATTTTTGATGTCGTCGGCGAATAAGAGAATAGATGAAGGGATTTTAGTGGGGAGGACACTTGTGAATAGTAAGAATAGGGGTGGTCAAGGGATCCCTCCCTTAGAAACTATTGCTCTTGCATACCTCCAGGTTGATCGACAGGTAGATTCAACAACAAAAGTACAAACATAGGAAACTGGTAAATTTTGATATCTCGCAACTTTAAAAATTAAAATTTTTGGGGTTGTAAGATTTTTTCAAGGAATATCAAGCAGGCGGCTTCTTCAGGTGGCGTGACACCAGACAGCTGTCAGTACTGCTTGTAAAAAGAAGACAAAAGGCAGGAAAAAATAACCTTTGAAATTTAGCCACATGTATTTGGCACCAAAGTGATGCCAGAATTAAATATAAAAAAGCATCTAAAATTTACAAAAAGCAGCTGAGTAAATCTTGTGGGGCCGTTATATGACATATGGTTTTCTGAGTTGTTATCCTGTTAAGGCGTCCGAGAGTGAACATTCATGATGTTTGTGTATTCTACGGTATGCTTAGTGGCAGCTAGCTCAGAGAACCATAGCCCACTCAAAAATATCACAAGGCTTGAGTGCCTAAATGCAGTTTATTTATGTGGCAAAGCATCTCCCCTTGCGCTCGCATCTTTAGGACAACCACTGCAGCAGACAAATAGCAAAGACTCTTGGGCCCAAAACGATAGTGGCAGCGCCATCACAGAAATCCCTGGAGTAATGACAAAGCGCCACCTACACTTGTCTTCTCATGTTTTTTGCTGACCCATACCCCTAACATACTT